ACGCTCTGTCTCTTTCTAATCGCTCGCTCGCTATGTACTACGTATCGCTTAGCTTCATGCTCCTCGCATATTCACTTACGCGTTCACTCGCGCTTCTCTCTCTCTCTCTCTCTCTCTCTCTCTCTCTCTCTCTCTCTCTCTGCTCGTTCTTTATTGTATTCTTTCTTTCCCATTATTATATTCTTTTATTTGCTCAACTTTTATTCTTTCTATTCTCGTCTCCCTACATGAAAATAAATAAATTTATTTATTTATTGTTATTTTATACAGCATAAATAAGATACACAATAAGTTATTTTCTTTTTCTATTTAACTATAATTAAATACAACACATGTACATACAAAAATACACATAATTAAATACTTTTTCTATTTATAAGATACACAATATCTCATTTATACTCTATAACATAAAGATGAATAAATTAATAATTATTATTATGTAGAAAGACAAGAATAAAAAGAATAAAAGTCGAATAAATAAAAGAATATAATAATGGGAAAGAAAGAATACAATAAAGAACGAGCAGAGAGAAAGAGAGAGAGAGAGAAAGAGAGAAAAGCGCGAGTGAACGCGTAAAGGTGCCATTACATGGCAGCATCGAGCATCGAGCGTCTACGCAGAAATCATTGCGCAGGAATCTGAATGAAATAGATTCCAGCTTCTTGCGGTTAATAGCATAATGAGTGATATGAATACGGTCGAGATAAAAAAAATTATGTTCTGATACACATTACTAATACTGAAAATTGATATTTATTTACATTATACACAATAGATATTATTATTATTAAACAAAATATGTATAAAACGTTACTATCCCCCAGCAGAAAGTTTAAGATTACGTACGAGTTTAGGTTTAGAATCAGTACTTAACGTAACGTAATGCATTACGGAAAAGCTTGTGCGGTGGCCCTTAAACTTTGATTGAAGTAAGTTGTGGAACACGGCCTTAAGCCCATATCAGACTACGCATTGAAGATTGAGATTCAAGATTCAAGATTGAAATTTGACCAATCAGAATAAAGAAATTTTAGTCCCTTTTGTTCTGATTAGTCAAATTCCAATCTTTAATCTTCAATCTTCAATTTTCAATGCGTAGTCTGATACGGGCATTAGGGCCAATTTCACCAAGTCCGGTTCGATGAACCGACGATTAAAATTAGCAGGGTTCCAACTGAAATGATATGAATACTTGGTTTTTCTTCACCTCTATTTTCTGTTGGCCACCCTGCTAATTTTAACCGTCGGTTCATCTCATAGACATATAGAATGGACTGAGCGTTGCGATAGACAAACGCGTGCTTGCTGTAGGGAGAGAGGTACTATATGGGAGGCCTATTTTGTCTCTTTTCCTAGCATCTTATTAGTGATTTTGTCCCCCTCTATATAGAAAATCACCAATGAGATGCTAGGAAAAGAGACAAACATAGGCCTCCCAGTACCTCTTTTTCTACAGCAAGCACACGTTTGTCTATCTCACAATGCTCTATCCAGTCTATATATCTATGGTTCATCTAATCAGACTTGGTGAAATTGGCTCTTACGGTACGCTGGTTGCGGTTAATTTGCACGTAGGATTCACTAGAGTCTTATATAATCAGAGAAGCGACATCGTTACCCTCTCCATGCTTTCCATGGTCGCCATGTTGGTCCCGCAGCTGCCCATTTGTAATCTAAAATGTCTTAAAAATATCTCAGAGATATTTAAAATGTTATTTTTTTAGAAAATAACATTACTTGACGTCGGGACGCTACCGCGTCGCTTGACAAATATACTTTTTTCTCACTTACGGTACGCCGGTTGCGGTTATTTTGCACGTAGGATTTACTACGGGACCAACATAGGGCGCGTTTCACTTAACGACCGCAACGCTCGCGAGCATCATCTGTCTTTGTTTAACTTTCGGTGAACAAAGATGAAATGATACCGCGAGCGTTGCGGTCATTAAATGGAACGGGCCCATGGCGGTCAGCCAATCAGCAAGCGGAACGCCATCGACGCTTCTCTGATTATATAGGACTCTAGTCTAGATATATTATGTCTATGGTAGTCTTTTTATTAGACAGATGGCAGTCGCAAAGGCTACTTTATTTTCTTAAGTTTTATGCATGAAGGAAGAGTTAGGCCCTGCGCACAATAGAGAAAATATTAGGAATAGGAATAAAATATTAAATATCAGGAGGAGCAATTTGGAATTATGCGCGTTCTGTTTCACGCAATGAGCGCATAGATTGCCTGGAAATATATAATATATGTTACGTGAACTATAGATTTCCAGGCGATCTATGCTCTCAATGCGTGAAACGGAACGCACTCCTAAACTCGTACGTAATCTTAAACTTCAGTCAACGCACAAACAAAATTGTAACGTAACAAAAACGACTTATTGTAGAACCGGCCTTACAGAAAAGCTTGTGCGGTGGCCCTAAGGAGAGTTATCTACCTAGATTGAAAATGGTCACGAAAAATGTTCCGTATGTGGCCAGGTTTGCCAAATGGAATGACTTGGACCCATAGACATAGTATATCTAGACCGAGCGTTTGCCTTTATTTAAAGGCCCGTCTACAATATGAGTAAGAGTAGAAGTAAGAGAGTAGGAGTAGGAGTAAGATTTTTGGCGTAAGCTGCTTACGCGGGCTCCGTCCACAATACGATAGAGTAAACGTAATAGGCATGCGCAGTGATGCGCAGTATAGAGTGCGTTACCGACATTGTGGGCATCATTTGCTAGCGCGGGATAGTGGTGAAAGAGGTTATATTTGAGAGGTTTTATATTGAAGTTGAATGAAACTCAATAAATTGATCTTGATAAGGCCGGTATTCATAGTCCGTTCTTATATCCAAGATCGTCTTAAGTGTGGTCTTGGGTCGTCTTAAGATCCCATTCAACCAATGAAATGGCCGCATAGTATCTTAAGATCGTACTTAAGACGATCTTGAATATAAGAACGGACTATGAATACCGGCCTAAGTGGTTTTGTTACCAAGCCACGGACTTTACATATAACTAAGCAATACTTGTCGAGTGACCATTTTCCTCCTGCGCTCTGATTGGCTGAGCGTAGCGTAAAGAGCTGTAGTAGAAGTAAGAAATAAAAATAATTTATTCCCTTTACGCCCTTACTCCAGCTCACTTAAACCGGAAGTAGCCCTTTTACGTCTACTCTTACTTCTTACGCCAGGCTTACTCCACGTATTGTAGACGACGCTTAAGAAGTGGGGGTAAAGATACACGTAGAAAAGGACATACTCTGTTTCGTGCCCCTTGCGTTCTCTCTCGCTCGCACGTAGCATGACGAAAGAGAGCGCTATGCTCTGTGCGAGCGAGAGAGAACGCAAGGGGCACGAAACAGAGTATGTCCTTTTCTACGTGGGCAAGATGGCGACAAAATGGTCCAAATTATTCCATTTGGCAAACCTGGCCACATACAGAACATTTTTCGTGACCAACTTTTTTCCTTTCTACACTATCGAGATAACTAAGATAGATAAGAATTTACATATAAAAATAAATATAAAAAATATATATATATTTAGTTACAAGATAAGTAAAATAAGCATTAAGATAGATAAGAATTCATAGTTTCCGCTATCACAGGTTATAATGTAAATAGTAGGCACGAGATGGCCTTCTGGTCACGTCCACCATTTTATACTTTTTGCTGAATAAAAAAAGAAAAACTATCGAGATAACTCTCCTTACTCTTCCTTCATGGTTTTATGACAATCTATCTTTCCGATAAATTCGGCGTAAACAAGTCGACGCAGGCGCATAGAATAAACGGTTGTTTTTATTTTCAAATGTCGAGTGAAGATTGCTTGGCTCCCTTACGTTGATTAGAAATTGAAAGCAAAATTGCAAATTTGTGGTAAATAGTTTTATGAGATAGGTGAAGATCCACGCGTGCATATAATTGCAAAATGTCCAACATATTTAATTTACTGGGCGGAATCGCCGAATCTGGCAGAGGTGGGCAAAACTTATTTTTATGATTATAATATTATGTTATGTTTATTTTAAAAAAATTGAGTTTTTTTTGTATTTATAACATAACGTTTCGTACAAAGAAAGAAAAAAAATTCTATTATAATATATAAAAATTATATTGAATCGACACACACTGGGTGTAGACGAGTTAGAATAAACATTGAAAAATGCATATGATAAATCAAATTATTCTCTATAGGCCAAGTGATGAAACCTATTGCGCAGTCCGAAATGTCTCACGATATTAAACTGAATTCCCTTAAGGCTATGGGAGCAAAACCAAAAGGACTATCAATAAGATCCAATTCTGATATGAATATATCTCATAGCGTACATTCAGTTAATATCAAGAAAAATACAGATAGTAACAAAGGACAGGATCGTCTAAAGCTGAAAGTAACACAAATAGATAATAATGGACACCCAATATCTCCAGGAAAAGAAACAAAGGTTAAAAAATTCATTGTGTTCTTGTATTTTCAATATATTGAAAATACAATATAATACATATGAGGCATATTTTATTATAATGAATTTTCTAATTGTATCTAACAGACTTCTATTGTATATTTTTGTAAATATGTCAAATCTTTAGTCTTCTGCCAAAAAATTATTTGCGGTATTATCTTTTTCTTTATAGAAACTATTTGCACAACCATCCAAGTTCAAAGAACCTGCTCTAAAAGAAACGACCGTGATTAATAAAAGTACAAAAGCACAATTAAATGAAGGTATTTTCAAGAAACCATTGCCTTCTAAAAAATATATCAAGCAATTTCCCACACCAGAAAAATTAGCATATTGGTGTGATGATCAACATAAATTTGGTATTTGTGGACAATTATTCTTATTTAATAAATGAACAATTGATAATATTTAATTATGTTATATAGTAATATTAATGTAGTAAAATATTCTCATAAATCAATCTTTTATGTAGACTATGGATATATTGAGATCATAGAAAAAGAATTTAAAGATCTGTTTTCTAAGGAGAAAGAGAATATAAAACCTTCTGAAGAAAAGGAACTGATGCCAGGTATAAAGCTCAATATAATATAATTATTTGTTCACTTGTAAGTTTATGATCTACATTTTCTTTTTTTTTCAGAGACGCCGATCTTATTAGAAGTTCCAAAATTGGCTTTTGATAGATCTTTTGATGAAGAACATAAGAAATTTTTGTCCCGTGATCTACCTGAAATATCTGATATATCCGATGATGATAATCTGTAATGATAACTGTAATATAAGAATTATTTTAATATTGTAACCTCAGATTCTTATAAGAGTAGCTGTAAAGCCAAATTCTAATATTATAATAATTTATTTTCTATAAGTAGATATATTTTTGTATTGACAAATATAGTTAAAGCATTGTAATTACATGCACATTAAATTATTTTTATACGATTAAAAAAAAAAAAAAAAGAGAAATGAAATTTTATAACAGATTATGAAATAAGGCAATGGATAATCCAGCTGAATGTGTCAGGGACTTTGCAATAGTCGTCAACGACTGTCAAAAGCAAAATTTTCAAAAAGGGAAGAGAAGGGAATCGATTGAGACGCAATTTGAACGAGTATAATATTAACACTTTAATGTAGCAATTTAACTGGTATACACAAGAGTGATTCGTTCTTATTTATAATAAACAACTAGTAATAATTATCACTTACATTAAATATATGTATATAAGGCGCAAAGCAAATATATACATAATTTACAATAAGTTTTTTCTCATTTATGTTATTGTGTTATTCCAGAATTATTTAGATTACTAAGAATATTTTCTCTTCCTCTTAGTTTTATTAGTATAATATTTTATTAAAGCAACACATTTCTATGAATTTGTCATAGTTGTGATGTTCATATAATGGCTAAGGAATGCAAATAGAGAATATAACGTGATAAACATACTTTACAAATATTAAATTATATTTCTTGAAAAAGAGCTATAATATTTCAATCCATTTTGATTGATTTTGTTATTTGATGAAAATTCATATACTTTCCCGTTTCACAAAAAATCGCGCCAAAATATTTAAGACTACTACAGATGTCGCTACTCGCGAAACATTGTTTCTTAGTAATAAATATTTGTCAAATAATCATCAAATAATAGAAAGAAGGATGTGTACGTTTAACAATTTATAATAAATATAAAGTGATTGCTGTTTCTCGTCCAAAATCCAATACAGATGCATTGGGTTTATCATCATAATATAAATTATAATCAATCCTGAAATCTAGAAATGCATACTATAGTATCGTATATTGAGGATATATAAACTTTCAAGGGTTATAATAAACTTGTAATAACGTGAACGAGATTCTATTGTCAAAAATTCTATATGCCAGTAACAAAACATTTGCTCCAAGAACTTCGATTATATATATAAATGCGAATACGTTCATGAGAGAACGTATAGTAGTAGTGAGACAGAATCGATGAAGATGAATCAAAATATTGCGCAAACTCTATTGACGCAAGGTGCTAATCTGATTTTATTGGATGTACCAAAAGGCACTGATATTGGCATTGATATGAAATCATGGAATACTGGGAGTAATTTTAAGGGCATTAAAATGATACCACCTGGGATCCATTTTGTACATTACAGGTAATGTATAATACGTGTCAGATATATGTATATTTTTTTACAAGAGAGTTTATAGAATAATCTATAATATTTTTATAGCGCAATAAATAAACTTGGCGAGATGGCACCGAGAATTGGTTTCTTCCACGATTTCAAGAAATGTGAATTCTTAGTAAAAAAATGGGACAGTAAAGAGGAAGATATTAGCCCAGAATGTAAGAAGAAATTGTTAATATGACTCGAGATTATTGCGCGCATGATAATATAATGACATCTTCAAATAGCCGTGCCCGAGGAGACAATTCAGAGATTGAAAGATAATTTAAGAGAATTGGATAGATATCTAGGATCGTATCCATATGAGATATGGAAGCAATGGCAGGAATTATCAAGCAGGATCACCGAGTCTCTCATGACGAGATGTTCACCGCTATGTGGGTGAGTAATCTAAAATCAATCTAAAAATGCAACGTTCAACATGCAGCAATGTTACATTGTCATCAATGAAACATTGCTGCATGTTTCAGTTACGTGCGATCCGCTTTGGAATTGGAGCCCTGCAGCGATGCTTTGAGACCGCGTAGCGGAGAAGAATCCAATAGTAGGCGAAGAAGATCCGGTAAACTCACGATGGAAGACAAGGAGGAGGAGTTACTGCCGAATCTGAAACCGAGACCTGGCACAGAGCTCAGACTTACGGAAATATCGGACAAGCATTATCCTGACGATGCGACTCCGAGCGAGATAACGCAGCATTCTCTCGATTCCAGTTACGTCTTACACGGTACTTTGAAGAAGTTACGGGAGTAAGTCTAAAATTAAAACTGTTGTAGTTTTTTTTTTTTTTTTAAGTCGAAGCGGAGAAAAATGTGAAATTTGCAAAAAAGCGCATAGTATAAATATCTACCAAAAAATCAATTTCGTACAATTCTCTTAGACCTGTCGAAATCATCGGGGAGATGCAGCTGACATTCATCTGTTTCCTAGTCGGTCAGAGTTTGGACGCCTTCGAACAGTGGAAGAAACTTGTGTCGCTGATCTGCGGCGTGGACAAAGCGATTCCTCAATATCGTTCTATCTATATAGAGTTTTTGCAAGTTCTGGAGATAGAATTGTTATATGTGCCTGAAGAAGTACTATGCGATATAGTAGCGAACAATAATTTTGTGTATCACAATCTGTGCAAGTTATTTGGTAACATCGAATCGAACTCTAAAGTGAACGGTCAATTGAAATTCTACGTGAAACGCTTGCAGGACCGATTGACCACCAAATTTCAATGGGATTTTTCAAATTTGCTCGAAGAGACAGACGATGAAGCACCTGTAATCGTAACTCTGGAATAAATCCGACTAAAGAAGTCAACAGGTACAAACGAAAATACGATATTGTGTTAAATATAACTTATAAATAAACCTGAATAAATCATGGAAAGCTTTTTTGCGTCTATCTTTATCTATAGTTACATATGTTAATATCAACTTTTATTATATTTTCAAAATCCTGAACTTATTTTATTGTATTTTCATATCAAAAATTTTCCTTTCTTCCTTTCTCATTAATTTTATTCTGGTTATGCTTTATAACAGATATTAGATTTTATTAAACACACAAGCCATTTAAATAAATTACTTTTAGATTTATCAACAAGTTTCTAAAATGCATATTATATATAATTGTATCTACGATCAATATGTAACGAAAAACGGTACTTTAAAGGGTAAAAGAAAAACATGGCAAAATTAAAACATGTTTCCGCCCGGGATCGAACCGGGGACCTTCCGCGTGTTAGGCGGATGTGATAACCACTACACCACGGAAACACTTGTTTAGGATCTTCTTGTTACTTGATTATATTGCAGTATGGTAAAATAAATGTAAATATACGGAAAGATATTTATTTTAATATATTCAAAATTCGGAAAATTTATAAGTTTCTGAACATATTTTTAATTAATTATTTATTACATTCAATGTACACACGTGCAATTCATTACACATAATGCAACATAAGAAATGTGTACATATATATATATGTTATTATATATACAGGGTGACCCATTTTAATTGTGCAGCCCGATTAACATCGCAGAAAGTGGTCGAATGAAAAAATGTTTTAGACAAAAGTTGTTGGATTTTGAGGAGGCCACATGATAAAGATCAGACATAGTATATCTAGACCGAGCGTTTGCCTTTATTTAAGGAGTGGGGGTAAAGATGCACGTAGAAAAGGACATACTCTGTTTCGTGCCCTTTGCGTTCTCATTTCATGTCTAAATTAAACGTCAGATATAGTAAAAAAAAAATTTTTGATTTATGAGAAATTATTGAAAAACTTCCAATTTATAGTATTTTTAATCTTTTATATTTGTATAATAATAATAATGTTATTGCATAACATTTAATTAACACTATTCAGATTTTAAACTTAGCATCTTTACATTAAAGTTTATATATAGAATCTTTTACGAAAAATCAGCTATTTATATTGTTGAAGAAACTATTTTTCATATATATATATATATATTTTTTAATTGTTTATGGTGATAACAATATTGAAGCATATTGTACATAAAAATAAATATTCTTGACAGCAAACGTTTGCTTTTCGTACCTATCACATGTTTTATACATATGAATCGACGTTTAGGCAAATAAAGGTTCATCTATAGATCTCAGATAGTGCACAGATATATATTTTTATCATTATAAGGAAACAATTTTTTTTCAAATGACATTAACTCGTAATAATATACAATACATGTGTAAACATAATAGATAACATTGCGTAATTCTGTTTATATTATAAAAAAAATACAATAAAATATGAAATAATTATTGAATTGTTTAAACAGAATATATATATATATATCTTTTCTCAGAATATGTATTTTTTGCTGCCTTCTGTAAAATTACGTGTGCTCTAAATATTTTATTCACAAATAAAAAATTTTCTATTTAGATATGTGTATCTGTTCTCCTTTATTTAAACATGCGCTACAGCTAGCATTATTATATTTTTGAACTTCGTAAATATCGTTTGAAATCATTACAAAGAATACATCAAATATATTATAAAATTTTACGAAAAAGCGCATCCACAAAGACATCTCGTAATCAAAACACATTATAAAACACATTATAATAGTACAGTGTCGTACGCATTATAATACATGTATAAGTAGCACTTAAAAATATACGTTCGGTAAATGCAACTCAATATCCGCGGTAAAGATTTCGAAAATAGTTAAGCAAGAGATAGTTCCCATTTTATCTTATAAACAGCAAGAATTTTTACAACAAACGTCCGTTCAAATTTAATAATTAAAAACAAGCAAGCCCACACTCCGCTTTCTCATCCCGCACACTTAACAATATTATATCTTGAAGATAGCAACTATCTTTTAATTTAAGCATAATATAAATTGTTTTTAGAAGCTATCGCGTAAAACAAAGACAAATATAATAGTATCCTTGTATATCCACAAGGCACAAGTTCTTTAGTACATTATATACAATATTTAATATCGTTTTACATGTAAAGCTTCTCGTGTTATTCGGTAATATATTTATGAAGTCGTGGCAAAAGTCCTTCCTGATGGTCTGCTATCTATAAAAAGGGAAATAAAATATAATCAATTTATTGATAACAGCGATCTAGAATAAATTAGCTTGATATATATTACAACTCATTGGTTTTATTGGCTCACATTACAATTTGTTAGTATGGATTATTTCAAGGGTAGGACTAATGTCATACAAATAATCATATTATTTATACTTTATATTTTTTTATATTTTTCATACCATATTTATTTATTGGAATATTGATTGAATAAACGGTAATTAGACTTTTTTTCTATTATTATTTATTAAATTGCATCATTTTGTGAATTTCTTTCAATTTTGATAGGATGTTTTATATCTTTTTTATTTAATATATTACATTAACCATTGAAAATCATATCGTTTAATCAATCTTTATAATAAAATTTTTTAAAGATGTTTAGAGTAATCTTCTGTAGGGGAGATCACATTATGTAAATAAGCATTTCCATAATTCTTTTATACCAAAGTAAAGAAAAAAACTGAAATTAGTTCAATAAAAGTATAATTTAAGCATTTATTTTTATATACTAGATACTAAAATATCATTAAATCATTATTTTTTATCTTACCTGCGAAAATTATCCTATGTACCGCTACTTGGTGATTTGCCCATTTCTCGCGTCAGTCTCTATCGAAGATGCTTGTCTGATAGTTCTTGTCGACTGTCGTTTTCTCCTCCACGCGATGACCGTTGCTGTACTGTTTTTCTCGGACACTCCAACATTCTTGCTCCAACAAAGGCTTTTTAAAAAAATCTGAGGAGGTGCGTCTCGGAATTCGCGCTACCGGCAAATTATTCGGCAGTGTCCGACGGCGTTTTCTTCGCGTCTTTCACGTTGTTCAACGAATCCGAGCTCAGGAACGGAAAGTCCAAGGTCGTCTTCATCCCGAGGGAGTCGGAGCTGCGATCGAGCTTCTCTACGTTGGACTGCGCGATCCATATTATCTCGTCAATCTCCTTTATCCTCTTCTCGTAATTGCCCGATCCGGAAGTGCTAAGATTGAACGAACTGGTCGCGCCGGTGTCCGTCCTCAAACGCGGCAGATTCTCCATTTTATACTTATCCTCCGGACTCTCGTGTTCCAGCAGTTCCTCTTCCTCGCGGGCTCGCAGCTCCATCAGACGAGTCTCTCGGCAGGCTTTCTCAAGACCCTCGAAGTCCTTTAATGATGACGAGATGTCATCGCCATGGCCCGAACGACCGGTCATGTATCTTCTCGAAAGACCGCCGTTGTTGACGGAATCCTGCGAGCCACATCGAAATCTCCGCGAGTTCTCGGCCGCCACGGTACTTTCCAAGTGCTCGAATTCCTGCAGTGAGGTCAAGGACGCGGTGTCCTGATCCTGAACGGATTTGTTGAAATACTTCTTCCCGAGGATGTCGTAATCTGGTGTGCTGCTGAAGCTGCCGCGAATGCTTCCAACACTGCTTATAGACTCCTTGTGGCTGCCTAAACTGCTACTACCGGCCTCGAAATCCGTGATCTCCCCCTCCTTGATGTCCTTGAGCGGTCCGCGATCGTATTCGATGTCATAGACCCGCGTGTCCGCCTGGAATTGCATCTCTATCCACTTCTCGCTCGTACTGCTCGTCGTCGGAGTAGGACTGGGCTTGATCGTCGTTGGATGTCTGGGGTAAACTCCTCTCGAAGTCGAACAGATCGTTGTTCTCGGCGATCTGACCGCAGTGTTCCGATTAGAGATTAGGGACTGGCTATAGGCGCATGTGCAGGATTACGGCATCAGTATAGGGCGCGTTCCACTTAACGACCGCAAACCGCAACGCTCGCGAGCGTCATCTGTCTTTGTTTAACTTTCGGTGAACAACAAGGATGAAGTGATACCATGAGTAAGGATGGCGATGTTCAAAATAAAATCGATTTTAAGAATATTGATTTCTGAAAAAAAATTGATTCTGGAAATCGATTTTCTATTTGAAAAAATCGACGAATCGATTAATCGAATAAAAAAAAAATTATTTTCTCGTCGCATTATTTTTTCTTGTCACATTTTAAGCCTTATAGCCTACCGCACACAAATTGACATAGCTGCATCTGTGTTGCCAGAAACGGGTCCCGGCTCACACGCACACAATCAGAGAAGCCCGTACATGTACTGCGCAGTACATAATAAAAGGTGGTATGCGGCTCGACATGGAACAATCAATCAGAATCCACCATTTCGTTCGCGTTGGAAGTGACACAAGAAAAATATGGTTTCTGATTGGCTGTTCTATCTTTGCCGCGCCGGATGTCGCGTCTTGTGAGAAGGGGAAGAAGCCATTGCCATAATACTTCGATGTCGCCTTGTAAAAATCGGAAATCGATTAATCGACCGACAAAAAATCGATGAAATATAATCGATTATTTGAATCAAAGTATCGACATCTCCGATTAATCGAAAAACATCGTCCATCCCTAACCATGAACATTGCGGTCGTTTAGTGGAATGCGCCCATAGTATTTTGTACACAGGCTTCTATCCATAGACATAGTATATCTAGTATAACATAGTATATCTAGACCGAGTGTTGAGAAGTGGGGGCCAAGGTGCACGTAGAAAAGGATATACTCTGTTTCGTGCTCCCTTAGAACATATATAAATGGAAGGGGAATGCCTTTGTTCTTCTATCAGAGAGAAGCCTGAGAGCGGCAATGCCGACGATTTTCGTGGAACGCTTTTTCTAGGTCGTAGAGCAGCGCCATACATCCACTTTTAGAAATTAGAAACACTTACCCACATCCACTTTTCGGTACTGTCGGTCAAATCTCCATATGGTTCATGTCCGTGCTACATCCACTTTTCGATACTGTCGGTCATTTGGTTCATATCCGTGCTACATCCACTTTTCGATCTTTTCGATAGTGGTAGTACACTGATCGCTTGACAAAGAGAGATGATCGCGCCGTCTTTGTCTCTCTTTCATCGCGTATGTGTGTAGTA